ACCAAGCCCGAGGAGATTGTTTGAGACCATAAAGGGATTTGTGTAGTTTACACACCTTGCTTTTCATTTCTTTTCCATACACTCCTAGAGGTAGAGACATATAAACCTCTTCATGCAGATCTCCATTCAAGAAAGCATTTTTAACATCAAACTGGTGTAGGGGCCAGTCAAAGGTAGCTGCTAGAGAAAACAAGACCCTAACTAAAGTCATCTTAGCTATAGGAGCAAAGGTCTCAAGATAGTCAATGCCATACATTTGGGTGTAACCCTTGGCAACCAACCTAGCCTTATACCTCTCAACCGAGCCATCAGAGTGATATTTAATGGTAAACACCCATTTACACCCCAYTGGTTCCTTCCCTTCCAGCAAGTCCACAACATCCCAAGTATGGTTCTTATGTAATGCTTCAAGTTCAGTCATCATAGCATCCCTCCATTCAGGTTGAGACAATGCTTCCAGTACAGACCTGGGTATCACATGTGAAGAGACAGAAGCAAGGAAGGAGTAGTAGGAAGGAGAGAGAAGGCTGTAAGATAAATGTTTGGAGATGCAATGGGCTGTACACTTCCGCTTGCCCTTGCGAAGAGCAATAGGAAGGTCAAGGTCAGGGACAGTCAAAGGTGGGTCGATAGGGGGCTGACCTGTTTCCTCAAGAACTGTGGGAGTGACCAGATGCTCTTCTGAAGGAGTGGAAACAACCTGCATATGTCTGAATCTCCACCTTTGGTAACACCTTTGGAGAGTAGAAGCAGAAGCAAGAGGAGGATCAGGGGTGGGTCCAGTGGAAGAGGTGGACACTCCATGATCAGACTCACAAGGGATGGGAAGAGGAACAACTGGAGACATAGCAAAGGGTGCATCAGATTTCTCCCCCTCAGGAGGAACACTAAAGAAAGGAGTCAACTCTGCAAAGGTGACATCCCGAGATACAAARYGGGTGCYAYGAACTGGATCAAAAYARCAATAACCCTTTTGTGTAGAGGCATATCCCAGAAACACACACTTATGAGCTTTAGGTTCAAATTTATGCCTTTGGTGACTATGAATATGCGCATAACAAGTACTCCCAAATACACGGAGAGGGAGAGAAAAGAGATCCTCATCCGGGAAGAGAAGACTAAAGGGGGTTTTAAAGCCAAGGACCCTGGAGGGCATACGGTTGATTAGGTAGGTAGCAGTATGAACAGC